TCGACACTTTCAATATATCCGGTATCATTTTACCGGTTTTATCATTTTGATACCGGTTTTATCATATTTTTACCTGTTATATCGTTGTGGATCGATATTTTTTTTAAAGTATCGACACATTATAGGCGCTATAACTGCTTCTCTTTTAAATTCACAAAGTGTCGATCCTTATATAAAGTATCGACACTTTTAATATATCCGGTAACGTTTTACCGGTTTTATCATTTTGTTACCGGTTTTATCATATTTTTACCTGGTATATCGTTTTGGATCGATACATTTTTTAAAAGTATCGACACTTTATAGGATTTAAAACTGCTTCTCTTTTAAATTCACGAAGTGTCGATCCTTATATTAAAGTACCGACACTTTAAATGTATCCGGTAGCGCTTGACCGTTTTATCATTTCTATACCGGTTTTGTCATAGTTTTACCTGTTATATCGTTTTGGATCGACACATTTTTAATTTGGATCGACACGAACCGGTAGCACAATTTTTTAATATTTCTTCATGACTTAGACCTACTTTTATAAGTATGTACACTTTTATAAAAATGATATATACTTTTTTTAAAGTTATGTAATTTATGTTTCAATTTTTTAATAGTGTTTCATGTTTTCCACCTACAATATTAATTTAATAATTTAATTTACACAAAATATTATTTGATTGTTTTGATATTTTATAAAATATTATTTAGAATTTAAATTTAACAATATTAACCAAATATAATAATAAATATGTTTTCAACAGTGAAATAAGTATTGACACTTTTATAAAAATGATATATACTTTTTTGAAAGTTATGTAATTTATGTTTCAATTTTTTTAATAGTGTTTCATTTTTCCACCTACAATATTAATTTAATAATTTCATTTACACAAAAAATTATTTGATTGTTTTGATATTTTATAAAATATTATTTAAATTTTAAATTTAACAATATTAACTAAAGATAATAATAAATATATTTTCACAGTGAAATAAGTATGGACACTTTTATAAAATGATAGATAATTTACAATATAACAGGTAAAAATATGACAAAACCAGATTCATTATGACAAAACCGGTAAAATTTACTTGATATGTTAAAAGTATGGACACTTTTATAAAAAGGATAGATACTTACCGATAACCAAAGTTTACCGGTTACCAAATTTTTTAATAGTTTTTCATATTTTCTACCTAAAATATTATTAGTTGTCAACATAATAGGTACCGCTAAACCGAATTTATTAAATACATTTTAATGTATCCGATAATACTGTATATTAACCGTATATTAACCCGACTTTCCTAGACATTCCCTTAGTCAATAGTCATAGCCAAACTGGAGTCAAGTGGAGACCTAGCTGTCGTTAGATGCCGTTGCCTGAAGAGAAGCCCCACTAGCGTCTATGCAACAAATAAATGCTCAAGAATCACGTGCCTAAAACTGTTCAAAATTGAACCAAACCTCAGCAGTACTAAGGGATTGTTTGTTTGTCTTTTAATAGAATTATTCAGCGTTTAATGTTAAATCGTTCAACATTCAATGCGTTTGTTTCGTACTTCTGAATGATTCAGTGTTGATTGATTCAGTAAAATAGTGTTAAATGATTCATCACAGATGTACATTCTGAATGATTCAGAATCATTATCAAATAACATGACACATTTAGAGTTAATTCATTCAGAGCCTCTGAATCATTCAATATTTGAATTATTTAACGCTTAATCATTCTGAGATAAACAAACAACCCCTAAGAATTTAAAACCGCATCTCTATAACGTGCCTGTTTGCCTGCCCATCATTTTTACACTAACATAAAAATCAGCTTTTTAATTATTATTACTCGTAAAAATTTAAGAAAAGTTCATTAGAATTATTATTATTTACTCTTAACATCTCATTATTTTTTTAGAAGTACAAATTAATAAAAAAAATTAGCCTATATTATTATGTGATAAATTATTGGTTTATAAATTTATACAATAATTTAAATATAGACTAGTTATTTAAAAATTAATTAGAGAGAAGCATATGGACAACGTGAGTAGAAGATTGGAGATGTGGGGGCAGAAATGATGTTGGCGTAGCGGGTAATCTTCACCTAATCTGCCAAAAGGCCAAAAGAAAGGGGATGGCCGCTCCCCTACCCCTAACGATATGATTATTTTAAAGAATAATAAAATAAAGCCAACTGCTTAATCATTTAATTATTATAATATTATAATTTTGGTCACCAAACTTATCCTAATGATTTTTATTATTTCGGTTACTCTCGTTAAGTCGTTAATATAAACTTTTTAATTGATATAATATTATATTTAACCTTCCATACTTATATTTTAATAAAAAAATAAATATTGTGATGAGAAAAAAATTTCCATGTATGGTGTGGACGAAGTTATTTTTCAGATGGAGTGATTTTTTTATAATGTATATTAAAGGACGTTCGAACGACATAACATTTTTTCCTAGTTGCATGAATTCTCAAAAACTTATAATGTTATAGTTTTGCCAAAAAGATGCTCTTATTTAAGGATTTTCTCGAAGATGTCGTGCCATTCAAATATCTTTTAATATATACTATAACAATAATATTATATCAGAAAATAATTTCATCCACACCTTATATGCTTTTTTTTATTTCATCACATTTATAAAAAAAATACCCATATATCATATTAATTTAATTTTAATTTTAAAAAAATTAACGAATTTAATTTTTCAAATTAATACCTTCTTACAATTTAGGTATGTTTTAAAAAAATTTAAAATATAATTATAATAATTTTAAATATAAAAATATTTTTTGAATATTATAATTACAAAGACTATTATAAATACAATAATGACATCTAAATAGCAAATACAATCGTTGCGAATTGCGACAAAATATAATTAAACTAATAATTGAAATGTATTAGAAATAAAAGATCTAAACTCGAATAAAATCTTAACTTAAAATTTACTAAGATACTTATGCACGGTGAAATAAATTCCTTAGGATCTCAACCTTGTTAGACCCAAGACCTCATTGATTAGCACAAGATTCCACACAATTTGTAAAGATTGATAGTTCCTAAATGAATTACAGAATAACCGAACAAATATATTTAGTTAGTTGATTAAGTTATTCATTTTTATTATCTCGTATTTCCTTAAGTTATAAGCTTTAGACTCATCGGTAACACTTCCTTTCATTTTCCTTTCCTCCAGGTAGAATTAAAATATAATTTAAGATTTATAAAAAATTACAGTATAATCAAATGGATCCAAATGACGATGTCATCAAATACATAATACCATTATAATAAGGGTCTGTTTGTTTGGCTGTAATTGGTTTTTCGAAAATGAATTATTGGAATTTGAATTACTGGAACTGGAAAATGAATTACTGGAATTTGAATTATGGAAAATGAATTACATTTATGGAAAATATTTTCTGAAAAATATTTTCCGTAAAATGAATTACATTTTTCTGAAAAACATTGAAAACGTTTTATGATGTTTGAAATATGTTATTTAAACATTTTTTCCACTAGTTGAAGAGTTTTTTAAAACTTATTTATTACAAATATTAAATATAATAAATAATATTATTTATCATAAAACTTAATATTATTATTTTAAAATATTAAAATAATTTATTTATTATTAAATATTATTTTATAATTTTATTAATAAAAATAATAATTTTTTATATTTTAGTGAAATAAAATATTATAAATTATATTAATTATTTATTAAAGTAATAGTGTTATATTATATTTTAAAAATATTAATTAGTATATTTTAAATATCCTTATTAAAATATAATTTAAATATATAAATAATATTATTCATTATTAAATATATAAAAAATTTATTATATATTATTAAAATAAAAATATAATATCTTATATTATTATAATATAATTGATTATTTTATATAATATTAAAAATATAATATTATATTATTATAAATATTAATAAATAAATAAATAATATTTTGATGAAAATTATATTAAAATATTTTATTAATATTAAATTCATAAAATAAAATTATTTTGAGCATTTATTCTTTGAAGTGAAAAGTTCAGAAAATGAGTTACGGAAAATGAATCCGTAAGTCATTTTACAGAAAACACAAAGGAAATTCTGATGAATTACATTCCGGAAAAACCAATTACGTGAAATAAACACGAAAAAATATTTTCCGAAAAATAAATTACGTTAAACAAATACGGGAATTCGAGAAAAACCAATTTCGTAATTCTAATTATGGCAAACAAACACACCTAAAAGGCCAAAAGTTAAATTAAAATATTTGTCTGGCCCAAAAAATAAAATGATTGTAACAAATATGTGCATAACACTGTTCATACTATGAGATAATCTTCGCACTGTAAACTGTCCTATGAAATTGAACCCGTTCCGGAAAAACAATGTTGTATCTAGTGAGTTTAACAAAGGGATATGAATTTAGGGGCAAAATGGCTGGGGTAGTACTTTTGAGAAAAAGAATTCCTAAAATAATCTAACATTAGAATTTTTTTTTAAGATAAGATGAAGATGTCTGGTATTTCATGCGACTTCAGAAGATTTTAGGAATGCGGCGTGTCTTTACCATTTTTTGTTAGCTCTACAAAATTAAAGACACGTAGTAATATATGTATCTTCCACTGAAAAAAATGAAGTCGCATGATAATTCCGAGTCTTTCCATTGACATTGTAGCAATAACGCTAATTCAGGAAATAATATGGTGGATGTTTTATAGAGAAAAATCATTTTCCCACAATCCTATATGGGCGAGGAAGCCTGAATTTTAGTATACAACATAAGATCGACAAACAGAATAAAGATAAACACAAAAATTATATTGGATTGAATATATAAAACTTAAAAAAAAAGATTGAAAATATATTATCAATAAAAATAAAAATAAATCTTTAAATCGCATGAAAAATTCAAGATTACATTATTTATAAAGTATTGATATAATGTAAACGGCAAAGCCTAAAAGTTTGATTAAGACAGATGATGGTTAAAAGATGCAGTCCTCCAACAAGCAGCAGCAACAAAGAGTAGCCAAGCTGCAAACACAAACAGAAGCATTAACTACAATGAGAAATCAACTAGTCGGAAAGATGTATACATAACATAGATATATAATGAGAAACAATACCACCCGGTTAAGAAGGAAGTGCAACCATTGTGATAATTGTAATTATTCCGAGGAGGCAGCGGTGGAGGCGGCAGACCAGGTGAAGGTGAAGGGTACCCTTCGTAAGAGTAACCTTGATAGCCGGGCGGCGCGGCCGAATGATGAGTGTGATTATATACAACTGATGGTGGCGGCGGAGGGAAGCCTGGTGGAGGATATGGAGATGAGTCCCCTGTAACAGGCACTCGAAATGTGAGTGATTAGTAAAGTAGGAGTTGAGGGCAATAAGACATGAAAAGAAAAGAAAGAAGAATGGAGATTACCTGATGGCTGATGAGACACATGGTGATGGTTGTAACTCATTGCTTTGAATTTGAGACTGCAATGGTTGTTGGGAGACAGTAAGCCAAGCTCACCATATAACAAGATTGCACAACTAAAACAAGTAAATTTAGTAGGAAGGTTCCCTTTTGTTGAGTTTACAATACTACTCTTTCTCTCTAACTTGTTCGCTACGATTGCACAAACCAAAACGTTGGTAATTGATATGTTATACGTACCTACAGTGATATAGCCAATTGTCTATTCTACTAAGAGTATGAGTCAGCTAAGCCACATGTCACTCGATTCATGCTCCCACGTGTTAAGCCTCAAAAGAGCCATCCTACATTTTCAGCTGAACAACAGAAGCAAAGTTGATAATGATTTGATTAGTTCTTATAGTGATGGGATTAAACATCCTAACGATAAGATTAAATTTAATAGAGAGATGAGTTCGAGTTTAAAACAGTTTAAACACAACAATAGTTTTCGGGTGCGACAGAATACTTCAATGGAAAGGAAACAGAAAAATAATTCTCCCATCTATATAATGCAAGTCTTGGTTCCCTAAGCAATCATCCATATTACGATATAATTCTCCATTAAAAGACCATGGCAGCAAATGTTAGCATATATTCAATATATTCTGTTTATGGTGTGTATCATTAGTTTAGAATGTATATCTTTCTTACAGAGATGTTCTTTAAGCTTTTTGAAAGATATTGATTCCCTGTCTTTCTCATTTCTAAACCGTGGAATATATACATGATTACAAGAGATCAATTAGGCTGTAATTAAGGAAACAAAGATATACATTCTAAACTAATGATACACACTATAAACAGAATATATTGAACATATATTCTAACAATATACATTCTAAACTAATGATACAAACTATAAACAGAATATATTGAACATATATTCTAACAGCAACACCTGAAGGAAACACTCAAGTAGAAGAAGTAGTTCATGAACCACCAAAAGAAGCACCACCATCGGAAGAAGAGACCAAGAAACGGGGCACGCACGTCATGGGGGCGCCGGCACCCCCTAGTGCCCATCCAGACAACCAGTGGGCTGCTTTATGGAACGCCGGTGACCACCAACAAATCTATGAGCTGCCCTACGTTGTTTATTAGCCTGCAGAGAAACCAACCCATAACAATCCTCTCGAACCCGTGATTAACATGTTCAATACATGGAGTAGCAAGGCTGAGTCCATAACACGCAACTTCTGGCACAACCGTGAGTTCATTCTCAATTTTCATTTCCATAGTTACATGATCAGATGTATTTACATGCAGGTCTGTATATGAAACTGCAGTGAAAACTGGACCGTCCGTATCGAAAGCCGCATGGGGTAAATTAAACCTGACGGAAAAAGCTATAAAGGAGGGCGGATTCGAGTCTCTGTTCAAGCAGATTTTCGCAACCGATCCGAACGAAAGGTTGATGAAGATATTCGCCGGTTATCTGTCGACAACCACAGGTCCTGTTGCCGGAACGCTTTATTTATCGACTGTTCGGGTGGCGTTCTGCAGTGATCGTCCCTTGTCGTTCACCGCTCCATCAAGTCAAGAGACTTGGAGCTACTACAAGGTCAGAGCCGTCTTGTAAATTTTGGTGGCCCTATGCCATAACAGTAAAATATGTATTTTAAAACTAAAATATTAGATATATAAAGTTCACTAATATTTCAAAATTTATTATAACTATAAAAAAACGTTAAATAGTGGTAAACAATATCTTCATGTAATAAAGTGAAATACAAAATAAGTTATTCTCTAAATAATGTGGGCCTTGGACTTGAAAATTCTTAAACCAAACATCCTAAATACACATATATACAAAAAACTTAAAAAAAATTGGATGCCCTTACAAAAATTGGGCCATGTGCGGTTGGGCAGCCCGCACAGGCCCAAAACCGGCCCTGTACAAGGTGATGATTCCATTGGCAAACATAGGCAGAGTGAATCCGGTGGTGATGAAAGAAAATCAAGAAGAGAGGTATATTCAGATGGTGACGGTGGATGGACATGAGTTCTGGTTCATGGGATTTGTTAATTTTGAGAAAGCGTTGGTTCATCTTTCCAATAGTGTGCAAGATTCCAAGGCTACTTAGTGCCATTATTTATGTTTAGGTACACCTCTACGTAGGAAAGGATTGCTGAGTAAATTATAGAATTGTTCTTTCTTTATTATTATTATCAAAATATCATAATTTAATATATTATTTTAAAAATTATAATATTTATATTACGTTCAGTTTCTAAAAGATGTATTCTTTCTACAGAAATTAGTTCTTATTTTGTTTAATAATTCTTATTAATTAGTGTAATACTTTAAGAATTAAATTTGAGTTACATCTGATATTTGATAATTTGAATCGATTTTAAATGTCATCTCAAGATTTAACAAACATATAATTTAAATAATTATAAGCATAGTCTATTATTAACATGCATAATTATAATATATTCAAATTATAATTAAAATAAATCTAAACACGATTAATATGAGATAAATTTGATAGAAATTTAAATTAAACTCACACGTGATACTTACTCTTTGCAAATTCAAACTTTGTATCTCATAAAGTATCAAAACCTCAACATTGTCACTAAATCAAAGCTTCAATAAGTAACGATTAGTGAAGTAATTGCTTTACGCATGTAGTGATGAGAGTTAGAAGTAATATAAAATAATTATTTAAATCTGTAGCAATTAACTGCAGATGGAATACATGAATGCAGAGAATTTATTTACTTCTACCACCATTCTTTTTTGTAGCAAAGCCTAGAGTGCCTGAAGATGATGAGAAAGCATCCTTTTTGGGACGGAGTAGGAAGACAAAGTCCAGCATGAACGACAAGAGCCCGTATCGTTAGCCAAGGAGACTGCCTGTGTACCACCCATGAGCCATGAGCAGGTTTTAAAACTCGTGCCAGGCCGCAGGCAAGTCATCCTTGGCTACAATACCAGGTACTCCGGTCCTCATGTAGGACCTCTCTTCCTCGTCAAATTTGGAAACCAAAATCTTATTGATTGTAATGCTCGAGGAGAAGGGCATCTATTTATACAACCGATGATGAGGACGTTCGAATCGGATCATCGTTTTGGATCGTGTCTGGGAATATAATCTGCTTTTCTGCATGGCTCAGACGATGCCACCCATCTTTTCAGTCATTGACTCAATCAAATCTTCAAACTCCAAGAAATGCTGCTACACATACTTAAACCACCGCTAACGTTTACTTATTGTTTATCATTTTCGTAATTTTAAAATTACACTCCAATGTTTATTATATATTTATTTTAATTATTATTTTTTTCTTATAAAACATTTTAACCATAGTATTTTAATTTTTGATTAAAATAATTCTTGTTGAAAGAAAATCATTAATTGATTAACGGTCAACTCAAGTTATTGATATGCCATTTACACATGTGCTTAATTATATATGTATCACATGTCATGCCATCATTTTAGATGACATGATACATATCATATCAACACCTAGAGTGATATGATACATGTCATGCCATCATCTTGGATGACATGATATATGACGTACTATCACTTTAGGTGATATAACACGTGACACGTTAATATTTCAATACAATGTAAAAAAATCATGTCAACAACATATATTAACTTTTAATCAACTAAAGATTTTTGTTAGATTAAAGTGCTCAAGAAAAAAATAAAGATCAAAATATTAATTAATTAGAAGAAATGCTATAAAAAAAAGAATAGAGAACAAAAATTTCTTCCATTAGTTTTGTACTGAGTTTTGATTAAATGTGGTTAAGAGTATTGAAGTCTGATTTTTCTGATTCAAACTTGTTCCATTAAGAACTACATGGTAATTATCATGCGTTAGAGAAACCGGCATCAGATAAACATGCAGGCTGCAGAATCATTATAAGTGAAATTCTATTTTCATAAAGGCCGCAGGTTCGAAACCTACAATAGCATTAAAATTTTTGTATAAAATGGGTGCCCTTTTTTTTCCTTTCCTTTTAATATTGTTTATCTAATGGAGATCGCTCAATAAATTCGTAATTTGACGAAAAAATTATTATTCCACGAAAAAGATAGGGAAATGTATATTATCACTTTCCCTTGCAGTCTTATCAAACAGGAGACCTTAACAGTTATTAACCCAAAGCTTCAAGCGATAAACCATATTCATTAAATCCAAACCAAAGTGCTCTAATTATAATAACAAAAATGAATCAGATGACCAAGTAAAAGGTTCAGGCAAGAATTAGATCACTGAGCAAGAAAACCAGAAGTTAGAACTAACTATGACTTTACTATGAAATTTCTAAGGAATTATTTAGTTGATCCAAGTGCCAAACTTTAATGTTTGTCAATGACATAACCCCGCGATGCTTCCAACCCCACCACTTCAATTTGTTCACATAAATCATTTCATGCTCTATTTTTTTTTTGGAGGGTGGGTTTTTGTTTTACCAAATATCATCTTACAAGTAATAATTAACTGTCAGGCGCCTTTTATCCAAATTTTATTGATCTAGCACCCTTTTTGAGAAGATGCGGATCGTCATTCACGCCTTTGCGGGGTTTCATCTGAGTTGACGCCACGTCATGAAAGGCGTGGATAATCATCTGCGTCTTCCATTAATACCCCAACCATTCACACCTCCCACATTTATGAGAAATTCGGGTAACTACCTTCCCCTCTTTCTAATACCCCTCTTCATTCAAACACAAACCAAACACAAACCAAACACATACATTCAAACCCTCTTAAAGCTCAAACCTTCTGAAATTCTCTCAAAGTTCAATTTCTATTAAGAGTGTAAAATATTTTATTGTATTATAATGAATTAATAATTTATTGTTTTATTAAATTTTATTTTATTAACTTTTTATTAATTTTTGTAGTTATAAAATGGAATGTGGTTTGTTATGTTTAGATGAGCATTATATCTCGAGGCATTTTGTTGATACGATAACAATTTAAAATTATATTTTAATTATTGTTAATATTTTATTTATTTAATTTATTTAGTATTAGTTTATATTTTAATTTCTATAATATTTATTAAATTAGGAGAGAGACCGTATATTAGATTCATTCATTCGTAATCTTAA